ATGCCTCAACAAATGAAACGGATTTGTAAAAACGTTACATGGAAAAAAAATACGAGGCACTACACTTACTTCTGTAAAACAAGAAAATCCTTAATAAAATACTTTAAAAAAAAGAAAGAATAAGGTTGCAATCCTGTACATACTGTGTTGAGTCTCAGCCCCATTGAACTCAGTCAGTCTAACTTCTGAGTAGATGTGTGGGATTACACTGCAAATATATGAACACTCATTCTTCCCCTATGAGCTATGGAAAATCTGATTTAGCATTTCTGCACAGCAGGGGGAGGAAGAGAGGGTGCACTGGAGTAGATTGAGGGAGGCTTTTGATCCGGTTACCCCAACGGACCCCTGGATGAGGGGGGTTAAGTAAACTACCCCTTGGGTTTGAGTACTTGCTCTCCCTCCTACTGAGACCAAAGGAAGAGAAAATGGAGGAAAAAAAACCCCAAACACCAAGCACTTTGTGTTCCTGTGCTATGAGAGAGGTAGAAATGCTTCTCTTCACTTTCACCATGCCATGCAAAATTTTGTACACTTCTATCCTGTTGCCTGTGACTCACCTCTTCTCTGAATTAAAAAGCCCCAAGTTATGTAGCCTTTCTTCAAAGGGCAGTTTCTCCTTCCCCTCGATCATTTTCTGAACCTTTTCCAACTCAGCAATATCCTTTTTGAGGTGAGGCGACCAAAACCATACACACTAGTCCAAATGTGATTGCACCGCAGATTTGTATAATGGCATTGTGACATTGGCAGTTTTGCTTTCAATTCCTTTCCTAATGATCCCTAGCACAAAATTTGCCTTTTATTCCTTCTCTCAGCTTCCTGCTGTTTAACTAGTTCCTGCTCCACAAGATAACCTCTCCTTTTATTCCATGACTGCTAAACTTACTTAGGAGTCTTTGGCAAGGTATTTTGTGGACAGCTTTGTGAAACGCTTAAGTATATTATCTCCATGCATTAGGGTGGCTAAAGAAAGGCAGCTGGTAGGGAAAAGTGCTGGTAGGGAAGGGCAGGTGATGAAGAGCCTTAGTGGGCAGCTTGTGCAAAAGCATCAGCAGGTGGAAGGGCAGTGAAGGTGTTGCCTGCTGGAGGGCTTAGAGTCAGTGTATGCTCACAAGCACCATTGAAAATAGTTTAAAGTTAGTATTTTTAAGCTAGCGGTGAGAGAGAGAGAGAGAGAGAGAGAGAGAGAGAGAGAGAGAGAAGTGTGGTTGTATGGGTATAGGGTGGTATATAAATTCAATAATGTTATAGTAGCTATATGAACCCTGCCTGTGCGCATAAGAGACAGGATTGGGAAGGGTAAATGCATTGCCTTGCTGTTCTGTATCTCTAAAATAGGTCAGTGTTTTCTAGATTCTTAATTCCTTGAATGCTTCTTTTTAAAATTCCACTCCTCCTTTGTAATTCTTTTTTTAAAAAAATGTAAGCTTACATTCAAAACTTAAGACAATGATAAATATTAACTTCTAACATAAAACATAAATCCATAAAAACTATAAAAACAGCAGTAGCCCTAAAATAATAAATATTATGTAGGGCAGGGGCTCCAGCTTTGTTGACCCTTAAAAGCCTGAGTGTGGCTTGATTACGTGAATTATCTGCTCGGCATGTAAGTGGCTTTTGTTTGTATTCTGGATTGTGTCATGATCTTGAGGGTTTAGTACTATATGTGCTTAGTGGCAGAAGACTTGTGGCTCAAAGACTCAAATAAACAGCATTTTCTGTGGGCTCTGCCCCCCAGGTGGATGCAGGGACTATACCTGTCACTGTCCTCTGTATCATGACTTGGCAGCTCTCATGCTCCTGTCTTTGGGTTTATTTTATTTCTTTCATTTTGCTGTGATGTCTCACTTTGGGGTTTGTTGACAGTAAAACTGTGAGCAGAAGGCCTCTCGGCATTCTGCACTTTATTTGCGACTGAGGGACTGGAGGACAATGTGACTGAATTTTTCCATGGGGAAGAGAAATTCTCCAACAGTTTTTCACACTTGGGAATCATCATGAGCAGCGGCAGTAGCACAGCTTTATTATTCTTCCCCAAGTTTTTCTTTTCTTTTGCTGCTTCTGCAGTAGCTGTGGTGTTGACGGCTGGCCTCTGTTTTGTATTCTCCGCAGTTTCCCAGACCTAGGGATGAACTTAAGATTGCACTCAGGCAATTGTTCTGTCAGGGCAGGCATTTTGGCTAGCCCGACAAAATGATCCCCTTCCCCTGCCTGCCCGCTGTTTGTCTGGGAGTTTTCCTGAAACGCCCCCCCACACACACAAGCCAACTTTGAAGCAGGGAGGAGGGAAGCTCCAGTCTGCAAGCAGGAGCCTTTGTGCAGGGCTTCTAGGGATTAATCTCATCCTGCCCAAAGTGACATACCTCCCAAGCGCCCCAGGGAAAAAAGGTCCTATTTCCCCCACACACCGTGGCCATTTTGGGTGCTGTCATCTCTCATGCTGTGCTCTTGCACCAAATAAGCACTTTTATCAAAGCCATGCAAGGTCTCCCTCCCCCCCCCCACTTTTGGGGGCGAGAGCAAGGGGTATGGGTCACAAGACTCACCTGGGAGTATGTCCCAGAAGACACATGGTCCCGGTTTGGGGCTTGAAAACGTTGGACAGAATGTAGTGTTATTCTGAGGCAATGTAGAAGGAAATGGTGGCTGCCACAAAAAATAATGGGATGGCTCAGCGAAAATTTTGCACATGGCCTTTTTCTTAGGGGATGGGGGGGTTGGAATCTTTTGGAAAATTCGAGCTTGATTGAAAAAGTAGGATGAGGAATGGAATTCTATAAACATGGCCACCTGGTAGGATTAGCTAGTCAAACATTAAGAGGGTAGAAGGGACGGTTGGATGGAAAGTTAAGGTTGCTAAAAGAGAGGGATGCATACTGTGGATAGAGTGGGGTACAATGAAACCTCTTGGTTAAGAGGGAAATAATTGTATATATGTTTCTAATTTTAGAGAGGCATTCATATTTCTTTAGTTAAGTAGCAAGGTGGGGGAACTGGCCAGGTTTCAAAAGAGTGGAGCGTTTGGTTTCCTTTTGGGTTTTATTGTTAGAATTTCAATGAGCTGTGCACTCAGCTGAAAAGCTATAAATGTTCCTATTCAGTTATATGGTGTGTGGATTTCTTGGAAGCAGATTGTTCTGCAATTTCAAAATGGGATAGCATTAAAATATAAATAATTGAACTACAAAATTACACTTAATGATGTGTATGGAAAAATAGGAATACTTCTATGTTGAGGCTTTTGTAGCCTTACTTATTTTTTAAATAAAATAATAATAAAGTGGGAATGAGATTAACTACATACACATAACCATTTTTAAAAAACAAGAGCTAAAGCCTCCATTCACTCCAGGTTGGGAAGCCACATTAGCACAGCTTAGAAAGTCCTTACGTCATGTAGCCAGTGCCACAGAACATTCTCTCACAAAGTCAATTCAGAAAATAGAGGATTTAGTCAGCGCTGTAGGCTTCTTTTGATAAGCTCTATCCTTTAAAAATGATCTTTTTCTTGGATTCTTTCATTGCATCATTATCTCCCCAGTGTCTCAATATACAATCCCCATGTATAGTCCAAGCAGCCATTTCTGTATTTGGATCTTGGAGTTAGTTTTATCAATGCATAAGTAGTCAGTCAGTCAGTCAAGTTTATTGCTTATAGCCAAAGATTGCTGCAGTGTATACAATGTCATTCAATAAAATATATACTAGTTTGATACAAAAACTTAAAACATTTACATTGTCAAAACATGACCTAATCTGCACAAAGCTATAGAAACTCCTTAATATACAAATTGAAACATTAGACAATAAAATTTATAAGCTAAAAATTTATAAGCCACTAATATATTAAAAGTAATATTAAATAATACAATAGACAATTATGTACAAAGTTTAGTGAGAAAAATACAGCTTGGTGTAGATGGGGTCAATTAAATTCATCTCCTTTACAGTTGATAGCTATCTCGGTTATATAATTTTTTCTAATTTTCCTGCCGGCAGTTGCAAAAAGTGCTACACACCACGTCATATGCTTATCTATGTCTGCGAGGAGATAAAGAATCATGTCAGAAGGATTCTGGCCAGGGGACCTTGTCATTATAGGTGTCAAAAACCATTCTCTTGCTTCATTATATAAGGGGCAACATAAGATATAATGCGTAAGGTCCTCTAATTCAGGGCATCCCCTAATACAAACACGTTCATTTACTGGTATGTCTCCCATCTCTATAAGCAGAGTTTATTGTATTTAATTGTAACTCTGTAACAGCTTTCCGGAGTTGTACAAAAGTCAGTTCATTGAAAACGTATGTTCATGGGCCTCTCTAAGTTTAAAATATAATGGGGCGCATGTGGATAGGTACATGGAGTTTAAGTCGTTTTTAGTAGCCACTGCCCTTGTGGCCCTTTTAAAAATATTATTCTGAGAACGTAGGGGAAGTTCTTTGAGCCCGGATCCCTGAGAGGTCATATTTGCCCATCAGTTGGGCAGAATGATGTACCCAGTTTTTAAGGGGTAATCCATTTGTGAGCTCAATCAGGCATTTTTTTGGTAACCTAGTGTTGTCCATCTGTTGAACTCTGAACCAGTAGCAGAGGATTCTTTTATCTATTTGGCTCTCTATGCTCAACATACAAGTTTCCAGCCTAACCATGGCGGATTGCGTATCTTTGGGTAGGCCAATGCATAAGTAAGAAAATGAAAAATAGGAACTTCAGCTTGCCGCTTTAAACTTGCATTTATTGATGTTTGCTGTACAGTGGTACCTCGGGTTACATACGCTTCAGGTTACATACGCTTCAGGTTACAAACTCTGCTAACCCAGAAATAGTACCTTGGGTTAAGAACTTTGCTTCAGGATGAGAACAGAAATTGTGCTCCGGCAGCACAGCGGCAGCAGGAGACCCCATTAGCTAAAGTGGTGCTTCAGGTTAAGAACAGTTTCAGGTTAAGAACGGAACTCCAGAACGAATTAAGTACTTAATCCGAGGTACCACTGTACTGTGTTTTTTAAGAAAGCACTCCTATAAAATACAGTTTATACTATTTTATAGGAGTGCTTTCTTAAAAAACACAGTACAGCAAACATCAATAAATGTACAAAGGTCACTCAAGAACCATGCAATTCCACATCTTCCAGTGGCAGCATTTTGGAGCAATCTCTAAAGGGCACAGAGGACACTGCTTTCCTGTAGCCATTCAAGTTGTATGTTGCTAATTTTAGTGAGGCATTAGGATTTCTTTGGGTAAGAGGCAAGTATTTGGGTAAGCAGGACATTTTTTCAGCAGCAGCAGAAGAAGAGTTTGGATTTGATATCCCGCTTTATCACTACCTTAAGGAGTCTCAAAGCGGCTAACATTCTCCTTTCCCTTCGTCCCGCACAACACTCTGTGAGGTGAGTGAGGCTGAGAGACTTCAAAGAAGTGTGACTAGCCCAAGGTCACCCAGCAGCTGCAGGTGGAGGAGCAAACCTGGTTCACCAGATTACAAGTCCACCGCTCTTAACCACTACACCACACTGGCTCTCACTGGAACTCAGTTCCAACACCTCTCAGGTGGACACTATTGCCATTATAAGAGAACAAAGGAGGCATTCATTGTGAGGTCCAGCACCTCTTTTTCTAGAAAAAATAGCACTGTGGGTTAGAATTTATTTGGGTAAGAGCTGAGGTGGGCACTATCTGTTTTCCCAGTCTGTGTTCATGTCCCTTTCTGTCCAAGCAGAATTGCGAGTTTTCCAGCTCTCCAAGACTCAGATTTGGCAGCCTAGAATCTCTGTTGCCATTCTCAACCCTTCAGGCATTATTTCTCACATAGTATGCCCTCTTCTTGATTTGATGAAGGTGTCCCTGGATTTGCTACATTGTTTTGAATTTGAAACTGTATTCAGGATGCTGCTGCAGTTTTCCACCTCTGTCATCCTTTTCTCTCCAACCTATCTAAAATAAAGAAATCCAATTGGCTTTGTATTATTCCCAATGTGGCCCATTTTATGGCGTCTCCTTAAGATGGTCTGTCCCAGAATGAATTGCACATTCCGGCCAATGTGTATAAGTCATTGTAATTTTTTTTATATTTTTTTTTTTCATAAATAGTGTTCAAATCCCTACTCCCCCAACACTTTCCTCGGCAATTATTTTTACTATGAACAAATGCGATAGAAAGATGACATATACAGCCACAAAATATGCAGGAAATTGAAATGTTAGGAATGTCCCCATGCTTAAGATGTCATTATTTTTTTCAACCATCTTTCTTTCTCTGCTTTAAAAAAAATAAGGATTTTCACCCCGCAAAATTGCATTAGTTATGTTAAATGTTCTGTTTGCAATTTTTGTATATTTATTTGCTAACAGAGTGAGAGATTTCATCTGTCTCATCTGTTCACTTCTTGCCTGTTTCACCTCATTTAATTTCCTCTAAGCTTCATCTGTTCATCTGATTTTCAATACAATCTAAATCTGTTATCTACAAGATTGCTGGGACAATGTGCAGCGTCCTAGCGGTAAGGAAGATAGAAAGAACTATGGAATGGATAGTGGGCAGTGGAGGCATTTTCCAATTCAAGTGAAAGCATGAGAGGTTTTTTTATGGACTTCAGTACTGAATTGAGTAGTGGGGGGAAATTAAAGTAAAATTAGAATGTTATTAAATTAATGGTGGTGATGCTTTAAGGAGGGTAATGTATACTAAGTGATTTCCACATCAAGGTGCTATCCTTATCAAAACAGACTTAAAAAAATATTAAAGGGAGATGTAGTGGCAGCTGTTTAATGAGATCTCGAACTAATAAAATGCATTTTGTACAGGGTTTTTTTCTGTAGAATTTTTGTGCAGAGTTTACTTTAAGTCTACTTGATCACTTCAATCTGCAGAACTTGCACTTCTACAAATGTTGTTCAGTGTCCATTCTGTGCTTCCCTATAGCGTGGCAACACCTGTATTATGGAACTTCCTGAAGGCATCAGGAAACATTTTAGGTTTCTGAAAAGATCTTTTGGCAGGCCTATTCAGACATGTCTTATTGTGTTTCATGTTTTTTTTTTGGTTTTTTTTTAGATTTCTAAACAGTTTTAAAATGAATACGTGTGTGTGTGTATGAGCGCACACACACACACACACACACACACACATTGTGCTTTTATTACAGATATGTTTGTTGCCCTGGGCTCCTTTGGGAAGGAGGGCAGGATATAATTTTGATACATAGGTATTTAGGTAGGTAGGTAGGTAGGTAACTAATAGCAGATGAGCTGGCCCAAACAGTTAGTCCTGATTTCACATAGCTCTTTGTGTAGGAAAAGAAGAAGCATGCACATCACTCAAATTTATTCAGCCATTTCTTTAAACATATGAGCCGTCTCCTAGTCTAGCTACATTTTTCTGGTTTTGACATAGGGCCATCAACTCCTACACCAGACACACCTAATGACCCAATAACTATAGCTGTATTTGTTATTAAAATCACTCAAGTGATAGACTGTATTCTTAACTCAATTATGTGTCTGTTTCTCAGCTTTCCTCTGTGTTATGGCCAAATGCTCTGCTTTGTACTGTGGCATTCTGTGAGTTATAGAATCATAGAATCACAGCAATCCTCCTACATAGACTACAAATTGTGATTCTACAGCTGTCTAGCTTAGAAGACCTTTTGTTTCAATGACTGGAGTCACAGTGAAATATGCCAGTCACCTGAGTGCTTATTGTGAGGTTAAAGATTTTAAGCTTAAACCTGATGATGAGGTGACCACTTAGATGCTGGTTTGTGCTGTATTTATGTAGCAGGACAGGCTGAAGATGGCATACAATTTTTGCATTAGCCAAAATGTCTTTTGGTTTCAATTTCATTTTTATTTTATTTGTAAGACAAAACAAAAAAGAGGGCCATGAAAGTTTGGAAATAATAATAATAATAATAATAATAATAATGTTTATTATTTATACCCCGTCCATATGGCCGGGTTCCCCCGGCCACTCTGGGTGGCTCACAGCATATATAAAACATTAAAAACTTTCCGATACAGGCCTGCCTAGTTTTTGATTTTAAAAAATTAAGTAACTTATTTAATAAATTCTGTGAACAAATTGTACTGAGGAGCACCATTTGCTGGCAGGGTGCTTAAAATAGCAGTAATCTAATTTGATGGATGAGTAAAACGATCCCATCTATCATTTATTTCCTTGAGATTAAAGTTGATAATAGTTGTATGTAGGCCAATACAATCTAGCAGAAAGAGATAGTAAAAGTGGATGTGAGCATTAAAAATGCAGAAGGCTGGTGAAACAAGGCACAAGGTGAAGAAGAAGTTTGCATACACACCATATATTTAGAGCACACGGCTTCCCCTAAAGAATCCTGTGAATGTAGTTTGTTGAGGGTGCTGGAAATCATAGCAGTGTGAGGGGTGAACTACAGTTCCTACAGTTCTTAAGAGGTAGACACAGGCAGCTACAAGCAATGCCCTTCCTAGGTTCTGCTTATTGTATAGTTCAAGCTGAGATAAACAAACTAGCTCAAATTCAACCAGTGAATATCATGGCTGAGTAGAGATTTGAACTTAGGTCTCCCAGTTTGATTCTACAGTGGTACCTCGGGTTAAGTATTTAATTCATTCCGGAGGTCCGTTCTTAACCTGAAACTGTACTTAACCTGAAGCACCACTTTAACTAATGGGGCCTCCTGCTGCTGCCACGTCGCCGGAGCATGATTTCTGTTCTCATCCTGAAGCAAAATTCTTAACCTCAAGCACTATTTCTGGGTTAGCAGAGTCTGTAACCTGAAGCGTCTGTAACCCGAGGTACCACTGTATACGTAGAGTGCAATGATGCTGTATTACACCACATCAGTGCTGGCCCAAGACATTTTGGCACCTAAGATGGACTCCAAAATGGCGCCCCTCCTCCCTGCCAGGGAAGAAGGGATCAGGGAAGATCTACATCAGGAACAAGGCAAAGCGAAAGATTGACATTGGGGTCTGTTGCCCCAAGTGGGCTCTGTTGCCTGAGGTGGTTGCCTCACTGTGCCTCATAGGCCCTGCTCCACTTGGGCGCTCATAGAGCAGGCAAGGACAGTATATTGGATTTCTGGTATCACATGATTCTCATGGTCAATAAGATTCTGATCATTGCTGTTAACATCTGAGCTTGCAGACTGTAATTCCCTTCTCCAACCATGAACCAAGAGATATGGTGTGAAACATCATATCAACATCCCTTTTTTCCTTTATTTCATCCATGGGATTCACCTGGATTGAAAAAGTCCAGAAGCAAAACAAAGCAAAGCAGAAGAATAGCAGATTGTGGCAGTATTTTTTTCCACCCCACAAGCTAGACCAAGTACTTTCAAGTCCCAAATCTGTTGAAAAGTTCACATGTTGGGGAGCGGGGATTATGTCACTATAATTCAAGGTTTCTTAAAATGCCCCACTTCATCTTAATGCCCAAGTAGAAGGGAAGCTTTGAATTTATTTTATTTTTTCCACAAGGGACCTGGAAACAGAATTATCCTGAATTTCACAACAGGCAGCAAATTAAAAGAAAAGAAGAAAATACTGTTGCTAAAAGCCATAACCATTTTTCTTCAAAGCTGATCTCTCCGTGCAGGAGAGAAATTAATCACAAGGCAGTTTTGTCCTCAGATTTCCATATATTATAACTGGGTCTGCTGCCAGCCTTTCCAACTGTCACAAAGCAGGCATGCTTCCCAGAAGCAGAAGTGAACATTGGGCAGAGCTACAAGTGCACAGCTTTTGTAACTATTTCAGACACGAGAGTCACCAGAGCTTAGTCATTGCACATGGGAGACTTCTGATAAGGGTTTTAATAAAAGTATGAAATCAGGTGCAGAAAATAATTTTATACTGAAGATTGCTAATGAGGAACTCAAATCTGTCCTCTGATTGCATACCTGTTTTCTGCTGGGTGCGGTGGGTAGGAAACTAGGAACTTTAAATACTTACCTTACTCTACATATTTTGTGGACAAGTTTTCTCAGAAAATTTTCTCAGAATGTTTGTCATAAGTTTATATACTCTTTTGTGTGGAAGTGGGGAAGCCGACACCCTATTAGGTGTGAGTAAGG